AGAAAAGAATTAAAGCTTCCGCCTCTCAGCTTGAAAGAATTAAATGATATTATGGGAAGATTAGTGTGCAGTGTTAGGAATCTTAAGCCATAAAAATTTACCTTTACTATTGTGATCCAATATGAAAAAGTGATTGATAGGGTTGTGTTCCTTACAACTGAAGGAGGCAAATCAATCCTGCTGGGGTTTGCTTAGATTTTCTTTTGTTTGCACAGTCTCCTGCATCCTGTTATAAAATATTAAGACCCTTTTTCCTACCTTTATGATGTAGTTTTTCTTTTTTTCTTTCCAAGAGAGTCAAAAGGAATGAAATGTTTCTTTACAGCCTACCATTCAGCTAGAAATTAAGGGGCTTCCAGCTAACCTTCATTACTAGAGATACTCAGTTACATGGAAGTAAATGAGTAAGATGTTATTAACTCTGATTCTACACAGTTAACTAAACATGTCTTTCACATTGTTTAAAATTGAGAGTTAACCAGTTCTCATTTCCTATGCCTTTATCTCTATTTTATGACTTTTACTGTTATTCAATACAGTTTTTTTCAAAGACAGTCTTGGCCTCCTTTTAAAGTCAAAATGAAGATCTTAGTTTATTGTTTTAAAATCTAGTAAAAGTTTTACTTCTTTATATTTGACCACTTCAAAAATTTGAATTCTCAATTTTATTGACTTGAATATTTTAATGTTTAATTTGTCTGTGGTAAGAGTATAAACTGAAACTATTTGTTAAAAGTGGAAAGTGTTAGTGGGGATGAAGGAAAATTGCCACATTTTAGAAATGTTTTTGTTTTCACTTCCTGAAACATGTAATAAAACATGTTTTATTAAGAAATCATATGCCTTGGCATATAATTTATTTCATTTACCATGTTTTTTTTAAAATCCAGATTTTCTTTTCCCTTTTTGTTTTTTAGCTTTAATATCCCTCAGACTTTTAACACCCTTCTTCCCTAGTGTCGACATAGAGTTTTCTAAAGCTCCATAGCTCAGTTCTTTGGACTGACTCATTTCTGCATTTAACTTTTACTTGGCTACTTTTTTTACCCTTTACTTTTTAAAAAAATATTTACTTTTTTAGTTTTAGGTGGACACAATATCTTTATTTTATATTTATGTGGTACTGAGGATTGAACCCAGTGCCTCATGCATATTGGGTGAACACTCTACCACTGAGCCACAACCCCACCTCCCACCCTTTACTTTTAATATTTGTGAAGTGTACTTGTATTTACTTTAAAATAAAAATTTAGATTCTAAGCTTTTAAATTTGTTAATGGGCAGAGTAATAATTTTATGATTTGTATGAGTTTATATCATAATTTGCCATATTTAAAATGTATTATTGATTCAGAATGCAGAATTTAAAGAGATTTGGTAGTGATATTATGCTACAGATTGAAGCTAAATGTGTATTTTTCTTTATTTTAACTTTTACTTGGTTACTCAGTAATTCCCTAGGAAAAAAGAAAGTTGAATATCTCTCTTTTGGAGAGGTAAATCTTTTTTAAAAAAATATTCTTTTAGGGACTCTGGTTCAGCAGTAGAGCACTTGCCTCACAAGTGTGAGGCACTGGGTCCGATCCTCAGCACTACATAAAAGTAAATAAACAAAATAAGGTATGCTGTCCATCTACAACTTAAAAAATTTTAAAAATAAATAAATACAATAAAATATCTTTTAGTTATACATGGACACAATATCTTTATTTTGTGTATTTTTATATGGTGCTGATGATTGAACCCAGTGCCTCACATGTACAAGGCAAGCACTCTGCCACTGATCCACAATCCCAGACCCTGGAGAGGTAAATCTTAAGGTAGTAATTTGATACCTTGTTTTTAAAAAGGGCATGGGGGTCTGCTGAGGTTCTGAGGTTGTAGCTCAGTGGCAGAACACTGGCCTCCCAAGTGGAAGGTACTGGGTTTGATCCTCAGCAACACATAAAAAATAAAATAAAGGTATTATGTCTGTCTACAACTAAAAAAAAAAAAATTTTTTTTTAAAAGAACACCAAGAGGCTGGGGATCTTGCTTCGTGGTAGAGTGCAAGTTTTAGCACACATAAGGCTCTGGATTCAATATCCCACACCAAAAGAGAGAGACAGAAAGAAAAAGATCATCTTCTCTGAAGACTTGAAGAGCTGAAGAGCACTGAATCTACATCCAAAATGTAGCAGTTATCTTTTTTATAACATATTATGAAATAATATATAATGTAATATGATAATATCCTTTTAATAATATCTAGGAAAACTGTGGACTATAAGTAATTACCTGATTAAACTCTCTGCTTTCAGGTGAGATTCCTTGCAAAAGACAGCTTTTCTTTTTATCAAATCTACTCAGAGATATGATTTACAAATTTCTTTGTCAGAGTATTTCATTCAGGAAGTTTTAAGATGTAATTTCCATTCCCAGTGAGTATATAAAATAAAGATTATTATTCCGGTTTATAAATGAAAAATTAAGACTGAGAAAAACTAAATAATTTTGCCTGGGATTTTTCATAGCTAATAAGAACTAGATTCAGATCTCTCGATTTATTGTCTAATGTGCATAAATTATGAGTGTTTTCTATTTTCAATTATAAGGCATGATTCTCTGAATCTTATTTTCATTTTTACCCCTGAAATTTTGGCACTTAATTGGAATTATTTTTTTACACGGTGATTGCCATTATGTCATGTTATTGACAGTTTAGTTGGAAAATGAAACTAGTTTACTTTTGTCATATAGGAAAAATTTTGAGCCTTATGGCTTGATAACTGTTGATTGTTAGGAAGAAAATCAGACTCATGTGCTAAGCAATTAACCTTATTGGATGATATGAACAATTCTAAGAAAGCTTATATGCTTAATGTTTTAATCATAATAGTCATGAATTCTTTGGTCATGTATTTATTTCTTTAGCATCTGCTAATAGATATGTTTTGTATGTTGATTCTAAGAAACCTGTTAAAAGATAAAATGTAATAATTTGTAAAAATTTTAATACAACTTTGTATTTGGGAAAGTAGAGCTCTATAGTTTTGGCACCTAATGTACTAAGGAGTTTACATTTTAGAATACCTACTTTTCCTGCCAATTTCATAATTTTTGCTTTCATACTCTGATGCTGAAATATTTTCCCATAAATTTTGCCGTCTGTTAGCTTTCTAAATTAAGAGTAATCAGTGTGTGGTCCAAAAATGTGATTTTACTGAGAACAACCTGTACACCTTTGAATTGTATAACCTTCAAGCAGAATTTTTGGTATCAATCTGATTGCTGGTCATGTTCATGCCTTTGAACTGACTTTGTCGTTTTCAGAGAGGCACAAGCAGCCCTTCCAGGAATTGGAGGTAGTAACTAGAAATATTAAATTTGTGTATTTAAAGACCTTTCAACTTTCAAAATTTAGAGCACTTATGAGTCCATTTTATGCTGAATATCAGCAGACTGTTTTGAATGTAATTACTAAGTTATTATCTTTTGTTAGTGTAAAGTTTCCCTGTAAACATTGGCAAGTCTTAAAATTGTTATGTTGCAACTTTGCCAGGGAGGAAAGGTTGAAGAGTTACCATTTTAGAATTAATCCAGTAGTATTACCAAGTTCTAACTTGAATTCTGTATCCTCTGGTAGTATTTGTTTTATTATTATTATTATTATTATTGTCTTATGCTTCCAGTCTGAATTCAGAATACCTGAAGACTATAAACAATATTGCCTTAATAATGAGAATATTTGGTTGAAGAGTTACCATTTTAGAATTAATCCAGTAGTATTGCCAAGTTCTAACTTGAATTCTGTTTCTTCTGGTAGTATTTGTTTTATTATTATTATTATTATTGTCTTATGCTTCCAGTCTGAATTCAGAGTACCTGAAGACTATAAACAATATTGCCTTAATAATGAGAATATTTGGTAACAAAACTGGTTGGTGGGTATCTTTTACCATCAGTTTTGCTACTATCATTTTATTATTATTTTTTATTTATTTTTTTTAAAGAGGGAGAGAGAGAGAGAATTTTAATATTTATTTTTCAATTTTTGATGGACACAACATCATTGTTTGTATGTGGTGCTGAGGATCGAACCCGGGCCGCATGCATGCCAGGCAAGTGCACGACCGCTTGAGCCACATCCCCAGCCCGCTACTGTCATTTTATTTGTTGGTCATTTCAAAAGATTTTTTCAAACATCAGGTTAAGATCTGGGAACATAAAATTATATTGTTTTACATTCCGATGTCACCCAAGACCATGTGATACATATTTATGGGAAGAGATGGGAAGAAAGTATATTTATACATTATTAATTCCTTAAAATATTTGTAATAAGACATTTTCCTTATGTTTAGAGACAAGTAGTGGGAAGTTGCCCACAAATTGTTAAAGATCGTGCCCTTGTTGTAGGTGGCCCCAGAAGAATTTAAGACCAGCATTGGCCGTGTGAATTCATGTTTGAAAAAGGCTCTCCCAGTCAATGTGAAGTGGCTGCTCTGTGGATGTCTCTGCTGCTGTTGCACACTGGGTTGCAGCCTGTGGCCTGTTATTTGTCTCAACAAAAGAGTGAGTATAACCATTCTATTGTATAATAATAGTAAAAATTAACGTTTATTGCACACTTGCTATGGGTCAAGAATTGTTTCCATGTACTTTACTTAATTTTATTTAATTTCCATAACAATGGTATCATTTTATTTAAAAAAAATTTAAGGTATGCAGCACAGTAATTGCCATGTTTTTTTTTAATTGTTTTTTTGTTTTTGTGGTGTGGGTATTGAATCCAAGGCCTTGTGCATGCATTTGAGGCAAGTACCCTACCAACTGAGCTATTTCCCCAACTCCAATGGTATCATTTTAGAGATAAAGAAACTCTAAAATGAGTTATTTATCCAACCTTTATCAATACTTTATCACTTAATATGCATTCCTGTCACTTTAAGTAAATACAGTGAAAGTAAAGGACTCAGGTAAATATAAATATAGGTGGACTACTTATTCTCTTTATACAATCTGAAGCTATGACATAAAATGTTTCTAAGCTACAGGTATATTGGAGAACTACTTCTAATCTGAAGAAAGGCATAAGAGAAAGTAACCTGCAAAGTTGTGTGTCACTGGGGATCCTTAGTTTTGAATATGTTACAATAACATTCTAACAGCATTACTATTAGTTATTCCATGAAATTAAGACAACTATCTTAATCTGATCTGATTTAAAATTTCATTTTTATTTTGGAAATAATTTCCCAAGTGGGAAGACAGCTTTCAATATTGAAATTGAAGTCAATGAGGACAGTTCATTTTACCCCAAGTTCTTTTCCCAGTACTACAGTAAGGATTTTATTTAATCTTTTAAGTAATAATTAGCCTACTAAATCAGATTTAAAATTATAGCACCTTGAGGAGGAATAATTAGTGGTGCAGTTATTTTATTAAAGTGAAAAACAGTCCCAAGAAATAATCGTTATTTTTTTCTCCTCATTTTTCTCATTCCCTCTTTCATGTCTGCTTCAAAAAGACAACTAATGCTGCCAATCCTATGAATTTTTTGAATGGAAGAGTAAAGCATTTTATTGATTCCCTTGGTAACCACCAGTAGATCAGAGCTTTACTTTAAATATAGCTTAATTTGTTTGTCAAAACATGGACAGTATTTTCAAATGACCTTCTGTAAGTAAAAGCTAAAAGCATAAATGTCTTTACTTAATTGTCACATCTTACCTTTAAAAGTTAAAATCAATAACTCCTATCCATCCCCATTATTTAAAAGCCTCAATGTGAATTAATCATGATTTGGATTTCCCATCATGTGAATATAGCCAATCTCCAGTACTTAAGAACAGATTTTTTGGTTTTAATGTTTATCCAGGATTTATCTTCATTCTTTGACATATTTATGCTTTGTCTATCTGTCAAAGCTTCCATCAAAGAACATGAAATAGAGGGCTGTGCACTGTGGCACACACCTGTAATCCCAGCAGATTGGGAGGCTGAGGCAGGAGGATCATGAGTTCAAAGCTAGCCTCAGCAAAAGCGAGGTGCTAAGCAACTCAGTGAGACCCTGTCTCTAAATAAAATACAAAATAGGGCTGGGGATGTGGCTCAATGATTGAGAGCCCCCTGAGTTCAACCAAGTTCAATCCCCGGTACTAAAAAAAAAGAACCTGAAATAGAAACAAGTTTTTCACTCATTTAATTTTTTTCACAATATTTTTATTTTATTTATTTATTTTTATGTGGTGCTGAGGATTAAACCCAGTGCCTCACTCATGTGAGGCAA